CATTGAGGACGGCAGCTGAGGACCGGAGGAGCCGCACCACCTTCAGCAACACCACCACCACCACCACCACCACCACCAACAACAACAACAACAATGGGATCGCAACCGCAACCCCTTCGGTGGCTGCGGCTGTGGCTGCGGCTGCTGCCGGTGGTGGCGGTGGCGGTGGTGTTGGTGGTCCCCTGGGGGGTGTGGCTAGAGTTTCTAACGGCGCACTGGGAGGGGTCGCCACCGCTGAGTGATGGCGGTGATGACAGCGGCGAAGTAGTTTTATTCGTTTCGTTGAGAGGGAGAGCGGAAAAGGTACTGCAAATACTTGTCATGTGCATCTCTATGCCTGCCTGTCTGCCTGCCTAATCTGTATGTATGATGTGTGAAACAGGGGGTGTATCTTCGCCCGTGGCAGCTACCCTGCGAAACCCTGCCTTCCCCGGTATTTCGGGGCACCCTCATCCAGTCACCCTAGTCAACTTCTCAGTGGATCGCTCAGGTTCCGCAACCACCACCAGCATCCAACGGAATCTGCCGGGTCGACAGCGGCCCAACTCCATTCCTAGACGGCTCGCAGATTAACTTTATCCCAGGTCACCACCGTCCATCAACTAGGGGCGCAATGCCTTCCACCATCGGAAGGACTTTTGACCCTAATGGGTATCGATCCCGGGATCTCCCGGGGGAAATGGTCGCGCCTTACCAGTAGTGCCAAACCCTTGCATATGTATGTATGTATGTATGTATGTATGTATGTATGTATGTATGTATGTATGTATGTATGTATGTATGCGCTTTGCAGCACCGCAAGGCACGGGTATGTTAACGTGTGTGTGTGTTGCGAAGGGCAGTTATGTGACAGCCAGTGATACACGGACTTGGAATCTTTTCCTCGTCAGCATTATCTGCATCTTGTGCAATGCTTGGTTATTGAGAATGGGAAGGGGGTTACTGTTGCGGTTGGGATGGGGTGGGATGGAATTTGCGAGTGCTCCGCAGAATGGAGGATGGAAGCAGCAATAGATGAGATGAACAGACCATCAGGTGTTGTACCGTACACGCCGTACTCGTACACGTGTATGTTGTTACAGGGTGGTATAGCTTCCCTTTCCCGAGGCAGACAGTTCCCTGCTCTCCCCTGCGAGAGGGGCACCCTACTCCACGTGTATGTACTGCATTTCCATGTGAACAGCTCCGTGCCCACGTCGGATAAGCGAGGTGAACAAGCAATAGCCTGTGCACGCTGCTATGTGTCTGTACGGCATGGCGACATGCGATCTCGTTCCTCTGGACTGCGCTGGGCAGTTGTGGGCAGAAAGAGAACTGAGGCGGCGAGCAATCGGCCTCGGCGGCGTCTGGGGCTTCGGAGGCGCTGTTCCCGGATGATCCCCAGCCTAGGGGGGGAGGGAGGGAGGGAGGGAGGGAGGGAGGAGTGGGGGTGTTCCCGGCTCATGCAGACCTGAAGTGCTAATCCATACTTGCTGAGTGATGTGTTTGGCCGTTATCATTACCGCACTTATACCCGTAACGATAACCGTAACTATAACCGAGTTGCGGCGGGTGGTTGAGCTTTAGGGTTATCCACACAACCTGCACATTTCTCTCTGTTGCGGGCCTCTATGTTGTTCTGTGTTACAAAAAGCAGTGACCAGAATTTGGTAGAGGTGTGTCTAAGGGGGTGCATGGACATAAAAGGTGTGGTTGCTGCGGCTATGGCTGTTGTGGGGATGAATTAAAAACACAAAACACGATGTTGCGCGAACTGTACGATAGAGTTAACTGTACGGCAGAATAGCAGTCCCGACTGCGAGGTGCTTGTTGACCGAGGGCTATTTATTATCAGTACGACCGACTGCTAACCGGGGACCATTATTTTGGGTATTGTTTGCTTGTTTTGGTTATTCTGGTAATTTTGGTCGTGGGGATTGCGGTCTGCCTGGAATTCCGATATATGCCCATTTAGCAGCTGGCAACTTTGGACATGGGGCCGGTGGTTTTTCTTAATGCTATTACATATAAGTCCTCCCCCGTGCCTGGGGCAAGGCTTCTTTACGGCGGAAGTTAGCGTGTACATGCCGTACACGTAAGACGCACAGTAGTAGGTGACGTGTGTATACAGGGACAGCTGGGGGAAGCCGAGGTCGGGTGGTGGGTGAGGAAGAGTGGAAGTCCCGATTGCTGACCTCTTTCCCCCTGCTTCTTTGAGGTACGGCACTTGGGCACTTGCACACTCTACTACGTCACACCGCCGAAGTGGTGGTGGAGGCCGAGGAGGCGGTGTGCGAGCGCACCTCTCGGAGGACTTGTTCGAGATGTTGTTGATATATATTATATAATTCATTTGTGGTGCTCGGTGACTACTCGGAATATCATGCAGCAGGAGTGACGTGGGGTGCGGCTATAACACTGTTTCCATAGCTATAAATGACGCTCTTACGATGAATGTAGGAAAACTGTTTTATTTTCGTGTTGGCGTAGTAACTACAGTAGTGGGTAAGCAGCGCATGGCCGCTGCTACTGCTGTCGGTGATCGTTCGTGTGGACGGCGAGTTGTGTACAGACAGGCTGCGCAGAGGAAGGAGATGAGGATGGATAAGGAGGCGGGGTAGTCGTGCACCCATCTCGGCATGGCTAACCAAGTCCTTTAGAGCTGTTCAGGCAATCTGAGCGATCAGCACACTTCTCGCGCGTTTACGGGACGGACATTCCTTTTAAAGCATATCGATGCTTATGCTGTATGTGATTGTGCTTGTGGCATAGAAGCCAGGCGTTCTCCCCTCCTCTCTTTACTGACGTACTGATGGCGGCCGTGCACGGAAGCCGGGTACTCCAAGGGCGGCGGGGCGCACAGAGGCGACCAAGAAGCGGCAAATCACAAGACACGGACCACCGGCCTTCGAAACACGATACACAGCAACCGTAGCGAAACAACCCGCACCGCGCCGCATTACGTCGTGTTCAACACCCCGAACCAACCGCCACCACCACAATCTTCACGAAAATAGCGGTCCAGCATATGTAAATACACACAACACACGGCTCGCTCACGGCCTTCAGTTTTGCACAAAAACAAAACACCTCCGCTGTGCGGTGCGGTGAAATCATAGGACAGGGGAATCAAACAACGCCGGCAATCCTCAAAGCGCGCGCGCCCATCTCCTCCCCGTGCGTGACCGATGATGTGACACACTGATTCGCCCAGGCAGGGCTCAGGCAGGCAGACAGCCGGCAACCGCCGCCGCGTCCCAACCACCCGCCACAACTCTCAGACGAGCTCGTCCGCTTTTCCCACAACGGAGCCCTTTCCTTTTCCCATAAACCACACATAAACCACGGCACACAAGCACACACATGCAAACACACCAACCAAATGCGCCAATGCCTGACACATGGGCGCGTTCTATGTTGCCGCCCCGAAGCCACATAAGGCCATGCCGTACCGACCAGCCTGTGCCGTCGTACTTTTACTAACACTCATTCTTGGAGCCGAGAGCTCCCAGAAATTTGAAAGCCTCGACCTGATCTCCCATCACCTTCCCCGAAGAAGGGTAATTCTACCTTACTGAAAGGGGTGAAAGGGTTAAGCGGGTCAAAAGGGTTAAGCGGAAACCGCTCCTCCAAGCCCCCCCACTTCACGAGAGAGGGCATACGTTGCTAGTAGGGGCCGGGACGGGGCCCGGTCCACTCGTCTCTCCTCGTGGACAGGCAACTCAAAGACCCCCTCCCCCCACATACACACGCCGAGGTTCTTCACGGGACCCCCCCAGTCGAGAGAGACTCCTGCACGGCCTCCTCACTACCAGCCGGGGTCGTGCGGTTGGAGTCGCCGGCGGTGCAGTGCGAGCGCCCAACCCAAAACTCAACAACGAGTCATCATCCACACCAGCTTGCAACGCACTCCTGATTTCCCCCCCCACCACCACACGCCATCTGCCGTCGCTTCCCATCTACCTTTCATCATAACGTTAAGAAAATTTTAAAACAGCAAATGGCGGTAACCGGCTCGCTAGGTCGGCACGACTCGATACGGGGGCTGGTCAAATCCATCCCAAGCCTCCTCACGGATATAAAAGTAGAGCAGGAGCTTCAAAGGGCGCGCCAGACAGACAGCCAGGCAGTCAGCTGGTCGATGAAGAGCACGATTGAGTCTGTCTGCCTGTCCGTCCGTCTGTCCGTCTGTCTGTCTTTGATTTCTGAACGGACACCCAGCTCCGAAACTCCGAAACTCCGAAACTCTAAGAACCCCCATGACCGCAGGTAGCCGCAGATCAACTACTTTGCAGGTGTCGTGTAGTGGTGATAGTTGCGCATGCTGGTGGCACACCCACCTCTCCTGCACCCTGCACCGGCACCTTCGCCAACCAACCAACCAACCGACCCACCCACATCCAGACCCACGGCCCCCACTCGACACACGCACATCGGGAGTGCGCGGTGAGGGCGGCGCCCGCAGCCTCATCAGTAAGGCGTAACAAGTCGCACACACACATACGTGTCTTGAATGTTTTCCAGCCCTGCAACCGCCACAACACCCACCATCCCCCCTAGCACCCCTAGCACCACCCCACCACCGTCAAGAGGTTCGCTGTGGTACCCCCCTCCCCTCCCCACCTTGGTGAGTGACGACTTGGCAACCTCCTCCACCGCCCACCCACACAACCACCCACACACCCACATCCACATCCACACACATCCTCGGGCCTCTGGAAGGATCCGATTTGGCAACCAACCGTCAGCCCTGACGTACATTCTCACTGGTACTGCTGCTGGTACTGCTGTTGCTTGTACTGCTGCTGGTACTGCAGCTGTTGATGCTGATACTGCAGCTGCTGCTGTGTAAGGCTCGTGTACGACTCAGCGGCGGCGACGGCTTGACGTGGCTCCACCTGCAGCAACGTAGGATTAGCATCACCACCGCATCAACATACATACATACAACATATATAAATACATATACATATTACGACAACTAATCAATCTTATCGTGGGGATTGGGAATGTCTTCGTCATCTTCTTCGTCATCCCCGAATGGAAACCCCTTCGGGGAAGACGTAGGGGATGAAGAACTTGTCAGTCACTGTCACAAGTCCTCACACATCGCGAGATGATAAAACATTTATTCATTCATTTGTTCATCTGTTCAACAGCACTTGTACGGCCGCCATGTGCCGGGCAGGGAGAGACCAGCAGCACAGCTCAGCTGCTCCCGGATCCGTACGGCCGCCCCGTTACCGCCACTAACCCCACCACCCCACCACCATCACCACCGTCTCTTTTCGCACCCCAACATCGCCACCCACGCGCTGCGGCTCAACGCTAGGTGGGAGCCACTCGCGAAAGGGTAGGAAGATTGGGAGAAGAGACAGAGACGGAGACGAGGGGGTAGAGGGGGGTAAGAGGGGTGCCAGGGGGTATTTAATGTGGGCCCACCGATTCTGTCCCGCTTCAATGGTTCCGGAGCGGGCCCGCCTGGGTGCTTGGCCCCATGAACTTCGTTAGGTTTCAAGGGTTTTTAAGGCTGGAAAACGTAATATTTATTAAAATTTAAAGATATTGATGTTTAAATACAATCATGGCGGCATATAAATTGTGATGGCGCTCGCGCCGGTGAGGTTCACTGCAGGGGGGGTTCACCCTCGCCAGTCTGTTGCTAAACCTACAGACACACAGACAGGCATACCTGCAGCTGCATCTGACGAGGTCGCTGTTGCTGCTGCTGCTGTTGGGTCCTATGGAATTGGTGCTGCTGCGAATAGGCCCGCATGTACTCTGCCTCACTCTCGGCCGCAGCCATCGTGTACTCAGCCTCACTATCAGCGGCGGCAGCAGCTGCCGCAGCTGCTCTCGCTGCCGCATGGGGCGGCAAATGGTGCTGGTGTTGCAGGGAATGGTACGCCGTACCCCCCGCCGCCGCCTCCATACGCTGCTGCTGCTGCTGCTGCTGCTGCTGTTGATGTTGTTGTTGATGTTGCTGGTGGTGGTGCTGCTGTTGGTACTGTTGCCTCGGCGGGTAGGTTTCTTGGTGCGGGTACCCTTGCTGTGCTAGGTGGTGCTGGACGCGCTGTTGTTGTTGTTGTTGCTGCTGGTATTGCTGTTGATCCAGTTGCTCCAATCGTTCCAGTTGCTGCTGCTGGTGGTGATGTTGTTGTTGTTGCGCTGCCATTACTCGAGATGCGCCCGGGCTCGTCATGCCATACGCTGATGACGGCGGCGGCGGCGGCTGGCCCGGCACACCGCCCGAGGGGGCCGCCGCCATCGGCTGCCGCCGCGCAGGGGAGGGGGGTACCTCTCCGTAACTACATGGAAACTGCTGCTGCTGCTGTGGGTGCTGCTGCTGTGGGTGCTGCTGCAGCTGCCGAGGCGGCGGCATGGCCCCACCGGAGCCCATAGACATCCCGTGGGCTTGCGGTAATGGCCGCTGCTGCTGCTGCTGCTGCTGCTGATATTGGTATTGGTATTGATGCTGAGAGAAGCCGCCGGCGCCGCCGCCGGTAGCAGTTCCCGGCGGCCCAATCATGGGATCGTCATCATCTTCAACCTCGTACCCACCGGGCCCCTGCCCTGTGAACATGGCGGCGGCGGCGGCGGCAGTCGGGGCTCCCTGACGGAGCTGCAGTGATGATGCGGGATGACGTCGACCGCCGCCGCCAGGAGGTCCCCCGCTGGCGATAGCCGCGGCGGCAGCAGGGGCCCCACCGCTGGCACTGGGCAGGCGACCTGGCGGCGACGGCGCCACAGGACCAGCGGCAGCGACGGCCGCGGCGGCTCTCACCCGCTCACTCAAGACATCTGGCGGCGGCGTCGGTGTACGAGGCCGTACAGGCCGTGTCGAGCGCCTCTGACGTGGGACCTGCAGTCCGAGCAACGCCGCTGCGTCCTCCTCGTTGACGGGTAAATCCTCCAGAGCCAAACCGTTGGCACCGTACGGCATGCCTCCTGCCGTACCCAGCTGCATCTGCGGCGGCCTACCGGTTGCCGCAAACCTGGCGGCAAACACGGGATCACCCCGTGTGGATTGAGGGGCCCCATATTCCCGCATGTCGTACTCCTCGTCGTACTCCTCGTCGCCGCTGGGCCGCGCGCGCTTCCGCTGTGGCGCAACGCCGGCTGCGTCGACGTCGGCTGCTGCCGCTGTTGGACTTCCGTGCATTGGCGGCTCCCCGCCTCCGCCTCCGATACCCCCCCGACGGAGTACAAGTCGTACCTTCGGCGCCGCCTGCCCTCCTGCTGCCACCTCCACCTCTGTTGCCGCCGTCTTACCCACGCCGCCGCCATCGACGCCGTACTCATAGGCCTCGCCGCCGCCGTCAACCTCACCGCCGCCGCCTGCCGCTGCTGCCAGCTCCGCCTCCTTCATCGCTTTCACCCTGTCTCGATCCCGCTGCCGCCGGTCCTTGTCCTTCTGCCGCCGCTCCGCATCCTTCTGCTCCTGTTCCTGCCGCCGCCGTCGTTTCTCGTCGCGCTTGGCGTCGCCGTCGCGCTGACGGCACTCCTCTTCCGTACGGCGGCCAACCTCGGCGGTAATATTGGTGAGATCTTCAAGCAGGCCCGTCAGCAGCTCACAGTCCTGATCCACCACCAGTACGGGCAGTCGTACATTCATGCGGGGCCACCTGACCGACGGGAAGAAGTGGCGCGCCGACGGCGGTCCAGGGGGGCCCATTGGGGAAAAGGGGGAAAGGGTTGTGTAATGTAAATGCTGAAGTGGGGCTTAGGATGAGCGTAAAACGAACCAGGTGAATGTGTGAAGTCCTGTGAGAGGTGCGATGTACAAAGAAGTGATGCGAGGCGCGAAAGGGGCGGCCAGGGGCCAGGGGCCAGCTGCCTGGCCCTTAGATACGCCCGGCGCGAAGTGCAAAAGAAAGGTAACCTGTTGTGAAAGGAAGCGGTAGCGCCGCGGTAACGAGTTCCAGGCGCAATCCCAGGGGGGGGGGTCCGGGTGATTTACCAGCACGATGATGACGATGACGACGGCACCCTCCTCGGCCACCACGCTCGATTTACTACCGCACCCGCACCCGCACCCGCACCGACTACCGCACCCGCACCCGCACCGACTACCGCACCCGCACCGACTACCGCACCCGCACCCGCACCGACTACCGCACCCGCACCCGCACCGACTACCGCACCCGCACCCGCACCGACTACCGCACCCGCACCCGCACCGACTACCGCACCCGCACCCGCACCCGCACCGACTACCGCACCTGCACCCGCACACCTCACCTCAGACAGGGGTATCCCAGCTGCCGAACGGAGTCCCGGACTTCATCTCCGCCGCCAGGGCACACAGGCAGCAACAGCGACAGCAAGGTCGTCAAGTTGCGAGCCATATGGCCAATCTGGCCGCACGCCGCTGACAAAGCCTTCACAGCCGGCATCCCCGGCCCGGCGCCATCACCTTCCTCAGCCGCCGCAACAGGCTCGGCCTTCCTCAGCGGCGCCGCCGCTGACGTCGTGCACTCCGTCGTGCCGTACCGCGCCTCTAACAACTGCCGGAAAGCCTGTGCCAGCGGCACCGCCTGCGAGCCGACACCAGCCCCGCCGAGGGCTGCGTCAGGAAGAGCTGACGGCGGCGGCGCCATCAGCTCGCTACCTTGCTCTCTCTTGAGCGCGACCGCCGCCATCGCTTGTGCAGCACCGCCGCCGCTGCCACCGCCGCCGTTACCTCCGCTTACCATGGCGTCGACAGCGGTCGATGATGCCTTTCCCCCAAACATACGGTCGTTCTCCTCCTCCTCCTTCCCCTCATCATCACCACCACCACCACCCGGCGGCAATCGCTGTGACTTGCCCACACCACCACCACCAAGCTGCGGATGTCCTCCCTCCTGCCGCTCCCCCTCCGTCTCCCCCTCCGGCGGCGGTGGCGGGTCCACGGAGGCATTCGATAGGACCTTGCATAGCAGTACGGCACACTCGAGCGCCGCCGCCATGGCGTTCAGCACCGCCCCGACTTGCTCCGTATCGACGCCGTGGGCATCTGGGTTGAGGATCTTGCGGCGTTTGTAACCGCGACCGCGGCCGCCCACGTAGAGCTCCTCGCGCTCGGCGCCCTCACCCGCGCAAATGAAACGCTCCTCTAGAAAGCACGCACCAAACGCCGCCAGGCCAGCGCCGCTGCCGGGTAGC